ACAGCCAGCCGCGCTGATCGGAGGCGCTGGGGGCGGGGGGGGAAGGACAACAAACTAAAAACAACGCAAAGAGCGGCCCTAAAGAAATGAGTTTGCCCATCGTCGAGATGACGATGGGCTGCCGTGGCTTCCCAACATCGGAAGGAAGAGCGTTCCAGTTGCGAAGAGGGTGATGTGTCGTGAATGCCAGCCTCGATGCCCCGCCAAGTGGGTCTGTCCGTTCGGTGTTAAGATGTCCCAACAGCGTCCCGAGACGTTCGACGTTCGAACGTCTTGGGACGTTGGAACGTCCTGACACCTCGCCCTGCGTTGTTGTTATTATTGCCGGGCGGAGCGGGCGGGTGGCGACGGCCGCCGCCGTGGTCTCTCCGCTGCTGGCCGGAGGCTGCCACTGGCCCCCGTGACCTCCACACCCTCCCCGTGACCCCCACCGCGGGGCGATCTGGCTGGCTGTAGCGCGCCTGCCTTTTATAGCCGTGCCGGCGGCCGGGCTCAGAATAGCGGCACGCCGGCGCTGGTGCTGCGCCGCTCGCCCGGTCTCGCGCGCTCGTAGGCACGCACGTGCTCGCGGGACACGCGGTGACACACATAGACACGCGGTGACACGCGGTGACACACATAGACACGCGGTGACACACATAGACACACAGACACGCGGTGACACACATAGACACACAGACACGCGGTGACACACATAGACACACAGACACGCGGTGACACACATAGACACACGGTGACACACATAGACACACAGACACGAGGTGACACACATAGACACACAGACACGACACACATAGACACACAGACACGAGGTGACACACATAGACACACAGACACGAGGTGACACACATAGACACACAGACACGACACACACAGACACACAGACACGCGGTGACACACATAGACACACAGACACGCGGTGACACACATAGACACATAGACACGCGGTGACACACATAGACACACGGTGACACACATAGACACACGGTGACACACATAGACACACGGTGACACACATAGACACACGGTGACACACATAGACACACGGTGACACGCGGTGACACACATAGACACACAGACACGCGGTGACACACATAGACACACAGATACGACACACATAGACACGCGGTGACACATATAGACACACAGACACGCGGTGACACACATAGACACACAGACACACAGACACGCGGTGACACATAGACACACAGACACGAGGTGACACACATAGACACACAGACACACAGACACGCGGTGACACATAGACACACAGACACGCGGTGACACACATAGACACACAGACACACAGACACGCGGTGACACATAGACACACAGACACGCGGTGACACACATAGACACACAGACACACAGACACGCGGTGACACATAGACACACAGACACGCGGTGACACACATAGACACACATAGACACACAGACACACGGTGACACACATAGACACACAGACACGCGGTGACACACATAGGGACACAGTGACACACGTAGAGACACGCGGTGACACACATAGACACACAGACACACAGACACGCGGTGACACATATAGACACACAGACACGAGGTGACACACATAGACACACAGACACACAGACACGCGGTGACACATATAGACACACAGACACGCGGTGACACACATAAACACACAGACACGCTGTGACACACATAGACACACAGAAACGCGGTGACACACATAGACACACGGTGACACACATAGAGACACGGTGACACACATAGAGACACGCAGTGACACACGCAGGGACACGAGGTGACACACACATAGACACACGGTGACACACATAGACACACAGACACACAGACACGCGGTGACACACATAGACACACAGACAGGCGGTGACACACCTAGACACACGGTGACACACATAGACACACATAGACACACAGACACACGGTGACACACATAGACACAGACACGAGGTGACACACATAGACACACAGACACGCTGTGACACACATAGACACACGGTGACACACATAGACACACAGACACGCGGTGACACACATAGACACACAGACACGCAGTGACACACATAGACACATAGACACATAGACACACAGACACACATAGACACATAGACACACAGACACACGGTGACACACATAGACACACAGACACACGGTGACACACATAGACACATAGACACACAGACACACATAGACACATAGACACACAGACACACGGTGACACACATAGACACACAGACACGCAGTGACACACATAGACACATAGACACATAGACACACAGACACACATAGACACACAGACACACAGACACGCGGTGACACACATAGACACACAGACAGGCAGTGACACACCTAGACACACGGTGACACACATAGACACACATAGACACACAGACACACGGTGACACACATAGACACAGACACGAGGTGACACACATAGACACACAGACACGCTGTGACACACATAGACACACGGTGACACACATAGACACACAGACACGCGGTGACACACATAGACACACAGACACGCAGTGACACACATAGACACATAGACACATAGACACACAGACACACATAGACACATAGACACACAGACACACGGTGACACACAGACACACAGACACGCAGTGACACATAGACACACGGTGACACACATAGACACACAGACACACGGTGACACACATAGACACGCGGTGACACACATAGACACACAGACACGCGGTGACACAGACATAGACACACAGACACACGGTGACACACATAGACACACGGTGACACACATAGAGACACGCGGTGACACACGCAGGGACACGTGGTGTGACACACACGGACACGCGGTGTGACACACACGGACACGCGGTGTGACACACACGGACACGTGGTGTGACACACACGGAGACGCGGTGTGACACACACAGGGACACGTGGTGTGACACACACGGACACGTGGTGTGACACACGCAGGGACACGTGGTGTGACACACACGGACACGTGGTGTGACACACAGACATCTGGTGTGACACACACGGACACGTGGTGTGACACACACGGACACGTGGTGTGACACACACGGACACGTGGTGTGACACACACGGACACGTGGTGTCACAAACACGGACACGTGGTGTGACACACACGGACACGTGGTGTGACACACACGGACACGTGGTGTCACAAACACGGACACGTGGTGTGACACACACGGACACGCGGTGTGACACACGGACACGTGGTGTGACACACAGGGACACTCGGTGAAAGTACACAAACATGTGGTGACACACAGACACGTGGATGCACGGTAACACAGAGAGACACGTGGACACACATGGGCACACGTGGACACACGGTGACACAAACAGTGACACACAGACGTACACGGCTACACACAGTCTCACACGCACATTCACACATAGATTCACGCACTCACAAACACAAAGAGACGCGCACAGTCACACACAAAGTCTCACACGCACGGTCTCACAGTCACACACAAACACGAAGACACGCATACAGTCACACACGCACCCAATCTCACACGCAGTGCGTCTCTATATGAGACACACGGACAGTCACATACGTATACAGTCGCACACAAAGACGTACGCATACAGCCACTCGCACACAGTCACATGCACACAGTCACACATTCACACACGCACACAGTTACACGCACACAGTCACACACTCACACAGTCACACACGCACACAGTCACACACTCACACAGTCACACACTCACACACTCACACAGTCACACATTCACACAGTCACACACTCACACACTCACACATTCACACAGTCACACGCACAGTCACACACTCACACAGTCACACGCACAGTCACATATTCACACAGTCACATATTCACACAGTCACACAGTCACACGCACACAGTCACACGCACACAGTCACACACTCACACAGTCACACACGTACACAGTCACACACTCACACAGTCACACACGCACACAACAGTCACACGCACACATTCACACGCACACAATCACATGCACACAGTCACACAATCACATGCACACAACCACACAGTCACACAGTCTCACGCACACAGTCACACGCACACAGTCACACGCACACAATCACACATTCTCATGCACACAGTAGCACAAACGCAGTCTCACACTCACATAGTCACACACGCACACAGTCACACAGTCGCACACGCACACAGTCACACATTCACACACTCACACAGTCACACACACACACACTCACACAGTCACACAGTCGCACACAGTCACACGCACACAGTCACACATTCACACACACAGTCACACACTCACACAGTCACACAGTCAAACAGTCGCACACGCACACATTCACACGCACACATTCACACGCACACATTCACACGCACACATCCAACACACATTCACACGCACACATTCACACAGTCACACAATCACATGCACACAGTCAGACAGTCACACAGTCATGCACACAGTCACACGCACACAGTCGCACAGTCACACAGTCACACGCACACAATCACACACTCACACAGTCACACACTCACACAGTCACACGCACACATTCACACAGTCGCACAGTCACACGCACACAGTCACACAGTCACACGCACACAGTCACACAGTCACACAGTCGCACAGTCACACGCACACAGTCACACAGTCACACAGTCGCACGCACACAGTCGCACAGTCACACGCACACAGTCACACAATCACATGCACACAGCCACACAGTCACACGCACACAAGCACACGCACACAGTCACACAGCCACACAGCCACACAGTCACACACACATTCACACAGCCACACAGTCGCACAGCCACACAGTCACACGCACACAGCCACACAGTCACACAGTCACACGCACACAGTCACACAGTCGCACAGTCACACGCACACAGTCACACAATCACATGCACACAGTCACACAATCACAGTCACACAGCCACACAGCCACACAGCCGCACAGTCGCACAGTCTCACGCGTGCATCGTCTGCGTTTCCCACAGGGTCCGGTCGAGTCCAGTCCACGCGCAGTCGTGAGGAGGAGGAGGAGGAGCAAAGCGGCAACGTCCTGGTGGAGGACTGTTGCAGAAGACCTCGTGGGGGGAGTCGTCGCGAGTGAGGAGTCGTCGCGAGCGAGGAGGTGTCGCGAGCGAGGAGGTGTCGGGAGTGAGGAGGTCCCGGTGAGGTGTCGGGAGCGAGGAGGTGCCGCTGAGGAGGTTTGAGGAGGAGGCGTCGAGTCGAGGAGGCAGAGCGACGACGACGACGAGGAGGCGGAGGAGGCGGTGGAGGCGATGACGAGCGAGGTTATTGACGACGAGCCGGAGTTCTACAGCCGGGCGGAGGAGTACTGGCGGCAGACGTCGCCCACCGTGGACGGCATGCTGGGCGGGTACGGCCACATCTCCAGCATCGACATCGCCGCCTCGCGCAAGTTCCTGCTGCGCTTCCTTGACGTGAGCACCCCTGTGAGCGTGAGCTCCTGTGTTAGTACCTGTGTGTGTGTGTTAGTACCTGTGTGTGTGTGTGTTAGTACCTGTGTGTGTGTGTTAGTACCTGTGTGTGTTAGTACCTGTGTGTGTGTGTGTGTTAGTACCTGTGTGTGTGTGTTAGTACCTGTGTGTGTTAGTACCTGTGTGTGTGTGTGTTAGTACCTGTATGTGTATGTGTTAGTACCTGTGTGTGTTAGTACCTGTGTGTGTGTGTGTTAGTACCTGTGTGTGTTAGTACCTGTGTGTGTTAGTACCTGTGTGTGTGTGTGTTAGTACCTGTGTGTGTGTGTTAGTACCTGTGTGTGTGTGTGTTAGTACCTGGGTGTGTGTGTTAGTACCTGTGTGTGTGTGTTAGTACGTGTGTGTGTGTGTTAGTACCTGTGTGTGTGTGTTAGTACCTGTGTGTGTGTGTTAGTACCTGTGTGTGTGTTAGTACCTGTGTGTGTGTGTTAGTACCTGTGTGTGTGTGTTAGTACCTGTGTGTGTGTGTGTTAGTACCTGTGTGTGTGTGTTAGTACCTGTGTTAGTACCTGTGTGTGTGTGTGTTAGTACCTGTGTGTGTGTTAGTACCTGTGTGTGTGTTAGTACCTGTGTGTGTGTGTTAGTACGTGTGTGTGTGTGTGTTAGTACCTGTGTGTGTGTTAGTACCTGTGTGTGTGTGTTAGTACCTGTGTGTGTGTGTGTTAGTACCTGTGTGTGTGTGTTAGTACCTGTGTGTGTGTTAGTACGTGTGTGTGTGTTAGTAACTGTGTGTGTGTGTTAGTACCTGTGTGTGTGTTAGTACCTGTGTGTGTGTTAGTACCTGTGTTAGTACCTGTGTGTGTGTTAGTACCTGTGTGTGTGTTAGTACCTGTGTGTGTGTGTTAGTACCTGTGTGTGTGTTAGTACCTGTGTGTGTGTGTTAGTACCTGTGTGTGTGTTAGTACCTGTGTTAGTACCTGTGTGTGTGTTAGTACCTGTGTGTGTGTTAGTACCTGTGTGTGTGTTAGTACCTGTGTGTGTGTGTTAGTACCTGTGTGTGTGTGTGTTAGTACCTGTGTGTGTGTGTTAGTACCTGTGTGTGTGTGTGATGAGTGAGTACCTGTGTTAGTACCTGTGTGTGTGTGTGTTAGTACCTGTGTGTGTGTGTTAGTACCTGTGTGTGTGTGTGATGAGTGAGTACCTGTGTTAGTACCTGTGTGTGTGTGTTAGTACCTGTGTGTGTGTGTTAGTACCTGTGTGTGTGTGTCAGTACCTGTGTGTGTGTTAGTACCTGTGTCAGTACCTGTGTTAGTACCTGTGTGTGTGTTAGTACCTGTGTGTGTGTGTTAGTACCTGTGTGTGTGTGATGAGTGAGCACCTGTGTTAGTACCTGTGTGTGTGTGTTAGTACCTGTGTGTGTGTGTGTTAGTACCTGTGTGTGTGTGTTAGTACCTGTGTGAGTTAGTACCTGTGTGTGTGTTAGTACCTGTGTGTGTGTGTGTGTTAGTACGTGTGTGTGTGTGTTAGTACCTGTGTGTGTGTTAGTACCTGTGTGTGTGTCTGTGTGTTAGTACCTGTGTGTGTGTGTTAGTACCTGTGTGTGTGTGTGTTAGTACCTGTGTGTGTGTGTGTGTGTGTTAGTACCTGTGTGTGTGTGTTAGTACCTGTGTGTGTGTTAGTACCTGTGTGTGTGTTAGTACCTGTGTGTGTGTGTGTTAGTACCTGTGTGTGTGTGTGTGTTAGTACCTGTGTGTGTGTGTTAGTACCTGTGTTAGTACCTGTGTGTGTGTTAGTACCTGTGTGTGTGTGTTAGTACCTGTGTGTGTGTGTGTTAGTACCTGTGTGTGTGTGTTAGTACTTGTGTGTGTGTGTTAGTACCTGTGTGTGTGTTAGTACCTGTGTGTGTGTGTGTTAGTACCTGTGTGTGTGTGTTAGTACGTGTGTGTGTGTTAGTACGTGTGTGTGTTAGTACCTGTGTGTGTGTGTTAGTACCTGTGTGTGTGTGTGTTAGTACCTGTGTTAGTACCTGTGTGTGTGTTAGTACCTGTGTTAGTACCTGTGTGTGTGTGTTAGTACCTGTGTGTGTTAGTACCTGTGTGTGTGTTAGTACCTGTGTGTGTTAGTACGTGTGTGTGTGTGTGTGTGTTAGTACCTGTGTGTGTTAGTACCTGTGTGTGTGTGTTAGTACCTGTGTGTGTGTGTTAGTACGTGTGTGTGTGTGTTAGTACGTGTGTGTGTTAGTACCTGTGTGTGTGTGTTAGTACCTGTGTGTGTGTGTGTTAGTACCTGTGTTAGTACCTGTGTGTGTGTTAGTACCTGTGTTAGTACCTGTGTGTGTGTGTTAGTACCTGTGTGTGTGTTAGTACCTGTGTGTGTGTTAGTACCTGTGTTAGTACCTGTGTGTGTGTGTGTTAGTACCTGTGTGTGTGTTAGTACCTGTGTGTGTGTTAGTACCTGTGTGTGTGTTAGTACCTGTGTGTGTGTGTGTGTTAGTACCTGTGTGTGTGTGTTAGTACCTGTGTGTGTGTGTGATGAGTGAGTACCTGTGTTAGTACCTGTGTGTGTGTTAGTACCTGTGTGTGTGTGTTAGTACCTGTGTGTGTGTGTTAGTACCTGTGTGTGTGTGTTAGTTCCTGTGTCAGTACCTGTGTGTGTGTGTGTGTTAGTACCTGTGTGTGTGTGTTAGTACCTGTGTGTGTGTTAGTACCTGTGTGTGTGTTAGTACCTGTGTGTGTGTTAGTACCTGTGTGTGTGTTAGTACCTGTCTGTGTGTGTTAGTACCTGTCTGTGTGTGTTAGTACCTGTGTGTGTGTTAGTACCTGTGTGTGTGTTAGTACCTGTGTGTGTGTTAGTACCTGTGTGTGTGTGTTAGTACCTGTGTGTGTGTGTTAGTACCTGTGTTAGTACCTGTGTCAGTACCTGTGTGGGTGTGTTAGTACCTGTGTTAGTACCTGTGTCAGTACCTGTGTGAGCACCTGTGTTAGTACCTGTGTGTGTGTGTTAGTACCTGTGTGTGTGTGTTAGTACCTGTGTGTGTGTTAGTACCCGTGTGTGTGTGTCAGTACCTGTGTGTGTGTGATGAGTGAGCACCTGCGAGTGTCAGTACCTGTGTGTGTGTTAGTACCTGTGTGTGTGTTAGTACCTGTGTGTGTGTTACTACCTGTGTCAGTACCTGTGTGTGTGTTAGTACCTGTGGCAGTACCTGTGTGTGTGTGTGTTAGTACCTGTGTCAGTACCTGTGTGTGTGTGTGATGAGTGAGCACCTGTGTCAGTACCTGTGTCAGTACCTGTGTGTGAGTGTGAGTACCTGTGTGTGTGTTAGTACCTGTGTGTGTGTTAGTACCTGTGTGTGTGTTAGTACCTGTGTCAGTACCTGTGTGTGTGTTAGTACCTGTGTGTGTTAGTACCTGTGTCAGTACCTGTGTGTGTTAGTACCTGTGTCAGTACCTGTGTGTGTGTTAGTACCTGTGTCAGTACCTGTGTGTGTGTGTTAGTACCTGTGTCAGTACCTGTGTGTGTGTGTGATGAGTGAGTACCTGTGTCAGTACCTGTGTGTGATGAGTGAGTACCTGTGTCAGTACCTGTGTGTGTGTTAGTACCTGTGTGTGTGTTAGTACCTGTGTGTGTGTTAGTACCTGTGTGTGTGTGTTAGTACCTGTGTGTGTGTTAGTACCTGTGTGTGTGTGTTAGTACCTGTGTCAGTACCTGTGTGTGATGAGTGAGTACCTGTGTCAGTACCTGTGTGTGTGTTAGTACCTGTGTCTGTACCTGTGTGTGTGTTAGTACCTGTGTCAGTACCTGTGTGTGTGTGATGAGTGAGTACCTGTGAGTGTGTGTGTGATTGAGTACCTGTGAGTGTGTGATGAGTGAGTACCTGTGTGAGTACCTGTGTGTGTGTGTGTGAGATGAGTGAGTACCTGTGAGTGTGTGTGTGATGAGTGAGTCCCTGTGTCAGTACCTGTGTGTGTGTGTTAGTACCTGTGTCAGTACCTGTGTGTGTGTGATGAGTGAGTACCTGTGAGTGTGTGTGTGATTGAGTACCTGTGAGTGTGTGATGAGTGAGTACCTGTGTCAGTACCTGTGTGTGTGTTAGTACCTGTGTCAGTACCTGTGTGTGTGTTAGTACCTGTGTCAGTACCTGTGTGTGATGAGTGAGTACCTGTGTCAGTACCTGTGTGTATGTGTGTGATGAGCGAGTACCTGTGTGTGTGTGATGAGTGAGTACCTGTGAGCGTGAGCACCTGCGAGTGTGACTACCTGTGTCAGTACCTGTGTGTGTGTGATGAGTGAGTACCTGTGTCAGTACCTGTGTGTGTGTTAGTACCTGGGTCAGTACCTGTGTGTGTGTGATGAGTGAGTACCTGTGTGTGTGTGTTAGTACCTGTGTGTGAGTGTGAGTACCTGTGTCAGTACCTGTGTGTGTGTGTGTTAGTACCTGTGTCAGTACCTGTGTGTGTGTTAGTACCTGTGTCAGTACCTGTGTGTGTGTTAGTACCTGTGTCAGTACCTGTGTGTGATGAGTGAGTACCTGTGTCAGTACCTGTGAGTGTGTGTGTGATTGAGTACCTGTGAGTGTGTGTGATGAGTGAGTACCTGTGTCAGTACCTGTGTGTGTGTTAGTACCTGTGTCAGTACCTGTGTGTGAGTGTGAGTACCTGTGTCAGTACCTGTGTGTGTGTTAGTACCTGTGTCAGTACCTGTGTGTGTTAGTACCTGTGTCAGTACCTGTGTGTGTGTGATGAGTGAGTACCTGTGTCAGTACCTGTGTGTGTGTGTTGAGTGAGTACCTGTCAGTACCTGTGTGTGTGTGATGAGTGAGTACCTGTGTCAGTACCTGTGTGTGTGATGAGTGAGTACCTGTCAGTGCCTGTGTGTGTGTGTGTGTGATGAGTGAGTACCTGTCAGTTCCTGTGTGTGTGTGATGAGTGAGTACCTGTGAGCGTGAGCACCTGCGAGTGTGAGTACCTGTGTCAGTACCTGTGTGTGTGTTAGTACCTGTGTCA